ATCCTGGGGCAGAGGTATTGCAGGGAAGTTTTCACGCCGGGGCCCCTGGCGGGCGTCACGTACGGTTCGGAGGTCCACGGAGTTTCCGACTTCGAGCTCCAGGGGCTCCGCCAGGGGCTCGGTAGGGTCCTCAAACCTTCCGCTGGCATGAGGTCCCTCACGTCCCTGCTCATCCTTGAGAGGGACCCTACTGCTACCTACGCTGTCGCTCCTGTCATCCGTTACAGCAAGGAGGTCTGGGCCAACCAGGTTAGGATTTTCAAGTACCCCCTTGATTTCAGGTTTCTGCGCGAAGCCTGGGAGACCATCTTCATCAGGGACCCTGACGATAAGGACCTCTCGTGGCGTACTGTGGCTGGGCCTTTGGGGGCCATGAAGCTCTCTCTGCAGCGTATCCACTGGGGCATGAAGTCGTTCACTGAGCTCATTAATGATTTCGGGGAAACTATTGGGCTCACGTCTTTCCCCCCCCCCCCCCTGGTCAAAAAGCTGTTGGTTGAAGGGGTCCTCCGCCAGCTGCAGAGAGACTCAGGCCAGGCGTCAGGCGTTGGCAAGCGCTTGTGCTACGATGTGGTGGAGGCCCAGCTCCACTCTAGCAAATTCACGGCCCTCGAGAAGGGCAGTATCCGCGGGCTTAGCTGTGGGGCGACCTGGACCAGGGACCGCGCGATCGCCCTGGGCTACCAGCTCGACTCCGATCTTTGCTATTTGTGCCTGGCTGCTTCTGACAGCCTCATGCACCGCCTGTGGTTCTGCCCCAACGTCCAGGAAGATCGCGACGACCTTGTGAAACATCGGATCCAGCAAGATGCTCGGTCGTGCGATCTTTCTGACCCTGCTACCCTCCTCCTCTATACTAAGGGTCTGTTCCCGCACCCAGGTGACTCGGTTCCCCGTCCTCGTGGTGAAGGAGGTACCCAGACCAGGTGGGAAGGAGATCCTGATAGGGTTGATACGGCGGTCTCGGGTCATATATTCATGGACGGCAGCTGTCAGCGACACATCATTAAAGAGATATCCAGAGCAAGCTGGTGTTTTACAGCCCACGCAGACGACGGTTCCAAATTGTTTAGTGCGTTTGGGCCTATGTGGGCCCCCCTCCCCCAGACCAGCCAGGCTGGGGAGCACGGGGCCCTCGAAGCTTCCTCCCAGTGCCTTGTTGCCCCCTCTACTGGCTACTCCGACTGTCTCAACGTTGTTCGTGCCCACGGTGAGCCCCCCGCCATTAAGCTGTCCCATAAGAGGCCTTATGCGGGGCTCATGTTTTCTAGCTTTTCTTCGTGGTGGACGGGAACCCTCCACAAAGTCAAAGCCCATGTTGTGGACTCGGATGACCTGTCCGACAGGGACCGATTTTTAAAAATTGGCAATGACGCTGCTGATGAGGCTGCCAAGGCTGGCCTCGCCACGCATCCTGGGCCCACGGACGCCCAACTGACCGACCTTGCGCACAAAATCAGCGTTGCGAAGGCTGTTTGCCGCCTGGCCGCTCGGATTTTGCCACTGTGGCCTCGGCTCGACCTCAGCGGGGTTGTGCTGGCCAGGCCCCCTAAGGAAATCAAAGTGAAACCTGGCACGGAATTTGAGCATGTGTGGGAGTGGTGCCGTTCTTATTGGCGTTGTGGAGTTTGCTTGCGCACTAAGCATCCCACTCCGTTAATTTTCGGTAGCTCAGGCAAGCCTGCATGTGAGGGTTGTTCTGGCGTTATTCCCGACACTTTGTGGCGTGTCTCGGCTCTCGGACACAGGCTTCTATCCTTCCAGTGTAGCGACGACTCGCCGTTATTCGTTTGTGTCAGTTGCAAGGCTGTCTCGACCCTGGGTCCTCTAGCTCTCCTGGGTAAGAAGTGCGGGCGCCCTACCAGGAACAATGCTGAGAGATGGAAGTACAGAATATGTAAGGGTCGGCACCCACGACTTCCTGGTGTGACTGTGGAAATCCCACCAGAAGTTGTGAATGCACACCCTGGCTCGCAGGAAGAAATTGTCGTTGAGTCGTCGTCCGTGCAACCTGCGAGCCAGGAGCTGCAGCAGATTAACAATGTCGTTGAGTCTTCGTCTGTCGACACGGCTGCTGCAGCAATCTCAGTCAGTGGCCCAAGTGGCCCGAGCAGCTTCGCCCGCACCAGTCTTTTGCAGGATGGCACCGTTTTGCCGTTCACGGGAGATGGGCAGCAGCGAGAGGAGGTCGTTGACCAATCGTCTGTCGTGCAGGTCGTGGATGCTGCTGCCACTCCCCAGTTGTTCCACTCGACCCCTGCAGTCCAGGGGTCGAGGATCCGCCCTGCGTCTGTTTCTTGTGGTGAAGTTCGGCCCTACAAGACGGCTCGACACACCGCCAATTGTGCCGAGTCAGTGCAGCAGGCGGGTTTCTCTCTTCCCTCGGCTCCCTCCAACGAGAGAGGGGCTAGGGGTCTCGTGCTGAGCTGTGAGGATGGTGCGGAGGGTCCTCACGCTCTCACTGAGAGCGACCAAGGTTCGTTTCAACGCCCGTCCCCAACTTTTGATTCGGATGGTATCGAAATCCACGGTCTCAGAGCGCCTTCCCACGAAGGGTCGTGCCGATGTAGAGGTTTGTCCCGCTCGACCCCTGCAGACCAGGGGTCGAGGATCCGCCACGCCTCCGATTTTGGTGCCGAGTCTCGGCCCAACAAGTTTGCTCGTCACACCGCCAATCGTGACGAGTCAGTGCAGCAGGCAGTGAATTATTTTCCCTCTGCTCCCTCCAACGAGAGTGGGGCGAGGGGCCGCGAGACGAGCTGTGAGGATGGTGCGGAGGGTCCTCGCTCTGAAGCTGCTCGCGTGAGCTATGAGCCCAGATGTGGCTCGAACTAGCTCTTTTTGTCGGGGCCCATGGGTTGCTGCCGAAGTCAGCCACCGCATGAGGTCACCGCTTGGGTCCTAGCCTGAGACCAGGCTAGGAAAAGGTCCAGGTGAAGAAAAATCCTCCTCCTGCCTCCGAGGAGGCCAAAAAGGGGACAGACGAGGGAAGGGTAGCATTATGGGTACCTGTTCCCCCTCTGAGATTCTGCCGACGGCGCAGACTGCTGGCGCAGCGCATATCTGCAGCAATGGCCTACCCGTCGTGTGAGCTCGCCGCGGAGCACGCCGCCGGAGAGCCAACTCGGAGCCCGTGAATCACTGGGCCCCGAGGAGCCGGAGGAGGACGACGCGGTGGCCGAGGCCGCGCCAGTGCCCCCCAAATGCCTTCGAGGACTGCTGCCCGTCTTCTTCGCCACCAAGCTTCCCGTGCCCGCTTCGGAAGTGCCGAATCCCCCAGGGACCGGCGTCGAAGCCGCCGCCCAGGCCGACGAAGCCGCCGCTCCTGGGGCCGCCGCCCCCCCTGCTGGAAGCCCCCCCCCAGAGGTGCCTTTCGACGTGCCGCCGCGTGGTCTCCCACAAACCCCTGGGACGGATGGCTCCGATCATAGGTCTGGCTGCATTGATGGGCCCATGCTCCACCACCACCACTACCATGGGTAGGATGGGAGGAGAAGGGAGGATGGGGAGCACCACTACCACGGGGAGGACGGGGGGAAAAGGGAGGATGGAGAGGTCCTCCTCCTCCTCCTCCTTCTCCTCATCCTCCTCCCTCCTCCTTCTCCTTCCTTCTCCTTCTCCTCCTCCCTTCCTTCCTCCCTCCCATCCATCCTTCCTTCCTTCCTTCCTCCCTTCCTTCCTTCCTTATTGTTTTCTTGCTTTCCTTTCTTCCTTTCCTTCCTTCCTTCCTTCCTTCTCCTCCTCCCTCGCCTACCTATGGCAGTGGTGGTGGAAAACCGGCCCATCATCTGAATACATGGCGACGGAGCAGCAGGAGGTGCAGGTGTATGAGCGGCGCGGAAGCCTGACGGACGACCGCACCACCCGTGCGGCCTGGCCCGGCCGCAGCCGGGCCTGAGGGCGGGAGGGCGGCAGAGAGGCGTCGGAATCGGAATGCGAACAGTTGCGAAGCACCACCCAATCAAAACACATCTCGGCGGCGAGCGAGGAGGGAAGTGAGAAGGAGGAGGCCTTCTCAGAAGGCTCGGAAATTCCACGGCCTTCTGAGAAATGTTCTAAGCCTTCCCCGAAGAAACGGAAAACCTCTCAAAGGCGCGAGGGTTTCTGAGAAGTCTCGCCGCGTCCTGAGAAGGCATTCTCTTTCTCGCATGATGCGAGCGGGAAGGAGGCGCGCGCGTCCGAGGAGCGGGAGCTTTTGACTCTCGACCCCGGGCGCTTGGCATCAGACCGAACTTCTCGGGCTTCCTGCGCGTGGACCGTGAGACGTACGAGCATGGTAATGAGGTGCTGTCACGGCGTTGCAGATGTGCTCACGGTGCTCGTGGGTGTGCAGTGCTGCGTGCATGGACGCTCTGCATGCCGAGCCCGCCGACGCCAGCGCCGCTCGTGAGGGATATCTGAACAGACTTGACGCAGTGCTACATGGGTTCGGGCAGGCCTTGGCCGAGATGGCCAGAACGTCACCGCCTAAACTGGTGGCGCCGCCCGCCACCGACTGCAAGCAGACGCAACGGGGGTTTCGAAATATATTCGACTGCAGCAGAGGGCGCTGCATAGAGTCCCTCCATGTGTGGTGTTGTCGCCGACGACGGGCCCCCCTGCCGCTTGCTCACGCACTCACTTAATGTGTCTGTGCTCTCCAACAGACTGTGGAACCAGTCGCGCTGTGGTAAGCCTAGCGTGGCAGCGCCCGAATTCTCCTCAACCTCCTCCTCCTTTTCCTCCTCCCTCGGCGCGCTCTCTTATCTTGGTCGATCCTCCTCCTCCTCCCCCTCTCCTCCTCCTCCTCCTCCTCCTCCTCCTCCTCCTCCTCCTCCTCCTCCTCCTCCCTCCTCCTCCTCCTCCTCCTCCTCCTCCTTCCTCCTCCTCCTCTCCTCCTCCTCCTCCTCCTCCTGCTCCTCCTCCTCCTCCTTTCTCTCCTATTCCTGTTCGCACTGATCCTCAGTAGAATCCTCAGACCCTACATTGAGCCACTGCTTTCGAGCTGCCAGCCCAGGAGCCACGGTCTGCATTGTTCAACGTCTCAAGCTCAAGCTCCAACGAAGCCATCAGCTGCCTGCAAGACAATATCCCTTGTTTCACGAGCGTGTGACACAGCATCTCGCCGCCAGCAAATACCGCAACGGGGAAGGAGCGCGAATCTTTACATGGATACATATACATTCACATATATATATATATATATACAAACACGATGATGCATACATGCGTACATACCATATATATACACACCTTGATGCATACATGCGTACATACCGACATACATTGGTATCCAGTATCCCGATTGTAATGGCAGGCCAGGGAGCGAATCTAGGATTCTACACAGCAGAGTTGGCATGACACCAGATCATGTTGCACGATGCACTCCGACACACTGTCCTGCCACGCCACGAGAATCAATAGCGCACGTTCCACCTATGTGCCACACTCTGTTTCAATACGTTGAATGCGACGACACACCAAGCCGTGCCATTCGCATTACGTTATCTCCATCTCGTCTAACTCCAGAATGCCTCCACGGCACGGGCGCACCACCAACCTCAAGTGGACGCAAGCCTAATCCGGGCCAGGACCAGATCGCTCCCGGCTCGCTACCACCATGCCTCTCTTTCTCTTCAGGCCAGGACTTCTTGCTGCTTGTGAAGGCCAATCGCAGCGTCTGCCGAGATAAGTCTGATCGGAGCCGCGACGACGACGCACCGGTGGGGGCAGAAGTTGGAGCTGGAGCAAATTCTAGACACTGAACGAGCAGCTAGAGGATGCTCTTCTTCGCACGGCATAAATAATGGTGTGCGTCTTGCCACGTAACACTGCTGAAACAAAACTAGCCACACAATGTTCAAATAAGTATACAGAGAACAACAACGAAGAAACAAACGAACTATGCGTCTTCTGCGTGCTACAAAATCTTCCAACAAGACGAATTGTCATCCAATGGTCTGCAATCGAGCCGCCTGCAGCTTCATCGATTATTTGAATCGTTGCATGTGCCCGAATACGCCGTCTCCTGTTACACCTGTTCTTGCCAATGCGCCGCCAGGGCGCGGCTCTTGTCTGTCTGTCTGTCTCTCTCTCTCTCCCTCTCTCACTCTCTCTCTCTCTCTCGCTCTTACACCTCATGCACCACCCTTTATCAGTGAACCGACGCTGTCCCAACCCGGGCACAACCGCAGCTAACAAGCTATCACGTAGCACTCATGCCCAAATGAAGGGTCCAAGCGAAGAGGGGAGGACAACAGGGAAGATCAAGTTCCTCCGTCCTCCTCCTCCACCTCATCCTCCTCCTCCGAACTTCCTCCCCCCGTCCTCCTAACATTATCCGTCCTGTCATCATCCCTCCTCCTCCGCTTCCTAACTCATTATCCTCCTCTTCCTCCTCCCCCTCCTCATGTCCTTTCTCCGCATTATCTTCCTGACAAGCAAAGTATCCCCGACGCACCACCAGATGTGTCGGTTGGGCGGGCGGGGCGCATTGTCTGAGACGTCCCCCCTGCAGGCCCTGATTACGACCCTGCAGCATGAAACTGCAAGCGGCAACACGAATGTACTGCGGGCCGTTGTTTTAAACATGGCTCAAGCGTGGCTCTCGCCTCAGCGCCGCAGGCACATCGTTTTGTTTTAAGCGTCCAACAAATACACGGTTGCAAGCTGGGCCATGTTCGGAATATGGCCCTCGCCGTGGCACCGCAATTTTTCCGGAGTTGCACCAGCTACACGGATGGAGTGCGCAGGATTCATTACACCAGCTTGCACCAAGTAGACGGATGGCGGGCGGCTCTTTTCAAAATGGAGCTATCATTCGAGGCCGTAGCTGGCTCAGCATCGCGAAACCTAGAAAAAGCTAGCACCTGAACAAATGGAAGACGGCTCCTGCTTGAATCCTGTTTCTCGCCGGAGACTTCCTCAACTCGATGGTTCAAAAGCTTGAACATGTCAACGGCTTCAGGGATGGAGGGCGGATCTGTTTCGAAACGGGGCCGTCGCTTGGCACGCCCCTCAATCCCGAAGCATGTATTGTACAGTTATGCGGGGCCCCCCGCCGCCCTTTCGCGTGCATGGGACCACGGGGCGCTCGTTCTCCAAGAGACCGTTCTCCGCAGTGGGCAAAAATAACCGCAAGGAGTTGTCAGGGGCCTGGTGCGGGCTCGCGTTTTAAAACGGGTTGGCCGGAAGAACGCGGTCTCCCCCCCTCCCCTTCCTACCGCGTCGCCGCCTCGTCTCCGGGTCCGCCATCGGCACGGAGACCCTCGCCCGCTTCTGGGAGAGGTGGTCTTGGGTCACCGGGAGCACGCCCTGAAGGCGAGGAGGGAAGAGGAGAAGACGACGAGGAGCAGCAGGAAGAGGAGGGGAAGGAGCAGCAGGAGGAAGAGGGGGCACACTGAGGAAGAGAAAGAGGGGGAGGGAGAGAAAGGGGGCATGAGAGTTGTAGGAGGGAGAAGGAAGAAGACGAGAAGGGACGACGGGGAAGGGAAACCGAAAACACAGAAAGGAGCTCACGAAAACGGCGACAACTGCGCATCTGGCAACCCCCACAGGGAACCGCGGGGTCTCGTTTGGATATGCGTACACCTCCACTCCGCGAACCTCTTGGGAGCACACGAAAGTGTCGACAATTTCGTAGGTGGCAGCCCTCCTAGGGAGCCGCAAGGCATGCGGCAAGCAAGACATAGGAAGCAGGCAGGCACGAGGCACAAGGCAAGCAGAGGAAGGCGCCGGGAGGAGAAGACTCGCGAGCAGCTCTCTCTTTCTCTCTCTCTCTCTCTATCTCTCTCTCTTTCTCTCTCTCTCTCTCTCTCTCTCTCTCCGAAACGAAAACCAAATAAGAAAAGCAACTTCTGGCCTCAGGGCGCGCTCTTGGAAGTACTCTTGCGGCACTCTTGGCTTTGAGGGTCTCAGGAAGGCCGTGTTCAGGCCATCTTGGGCCGTGCATCCTTCTCACGCGGCCAGTCAGCACAACCACTACCCCTCGCTGCGGCAAGCAATGGAAATGCACCGTGATAAACCACGGTGCTCTGAGACGCATACCAACGATAGTGCTGCAACGGTCGGCCTCGCCTGCGGGCGGGCAAGCCACCCGTGTGAAGCGACTTCATTCCTCTTCCTATCCATTATGTCCCTCCTTTCTGGTCTTCTATCCTCTTCCCCCCTCCTGCTGCTGCACTGCTGCTGACCGCTGCCATTTAAGGCCCTTGAGCCGCTCGCCGCGCCGCCCCGTGGAAACAGCGCGCGCCCAGCCCTCCCCGGCGAGCCCTGCCGGGCATTCCGTTTCCTGGAGCTCTCGTGCCTGGATGGTTTTCGCTTGACACATCCTCAAGTTAATAGCGGAGCGCGTTGCGCTCCCCGGCCTCTCCGCGCCGGTTGCCATGGCTACCGCAAGTTTCGAAGGAAGTGGTGACAAAGCATGTCCTATAGCTGGTCCTCAACAGAGCTGGGAGTCCTACGAAGAGGACCTCAGCGCGTGGGTGCTTGTCCACAGAGCTGAAGCCAGAACAAATAGGGCCACACATCAGAAGTATAGGTTTTTCGTCCAATTTGTTTTTCAAGAACCAAGCCAAACTTCTTGACATGGCTCGGTTGTCTACCGATCCAAAGAACGAGACTGGTGCGACTGGTGCCCTTGGCTTTTACTTCTTGTCCTTCATGCAACAAAAAAGCAGAACCAAAGACGACGTGGCAAAGCTGCTTCGTTTCTCGTCTTGGCTAAAGTACACCCGGAACGAAAACTGCAGGATTAAGCATCCGAAAGCGTGCGGCTCACTAGCGAGTTTGAGACCGACAAGTTTGTCAAGCTGGAAGCATGTGTCAAAGCACTCATCCCCATAGTGAACGCAGAGCTGCCCTAGCACCAATTCAGCAACTTGAATGCGCGTCTGGACATGGATGCTACCCTGAATGTTAGGAAAGCCCGGGATGCAATCCAAAAGGCGTAGGGAGACAACCTCCTAAGAAAAACCGTCACGGACGGATTCACAGCAGACCTCTGGGACGAGCCTGAATGGCCGGACTCCCAGTGGGAAGAGCCGTCATACCACGACCAGTCTTGGCAGGAAGCCAACGGGGAAGACGCAGCCTACGGAAACAACGAAGGGTGTCTGAGGTGCGCGACCCCAACCACTGGGTCTCGCAGTGCCCACACCAACCAAACAACACAGGGAAAGGAAAAGCCTGCACCCCCGGCCGGGGTTCAGGGAAAGGCTACGGAACAGGAGCTGGGATGGCAACCCCTGGCAGGGGAAAAGGGGCAATACTTACCAGGCTGGCAAGTGCAACGGAAAGCCCACATGCGGAAAGCCCACCAGCACACCCACCAGTTTCAAAATCAAAAGCAACAGCAATGGGAAAAACAAACTGCACAGAAACCATCGGGGAAAGCGACCCACGCATTCGCAGCTGACGACTCCAGCTGGCGGATGGGAAGTGGCGATCGGTCGGAACATCCAGACTGGAGCTCTGGTCGCGCCAATGGCTACGAAAACCACCCCGACTCGGATGCCCAATTAGCTCGGTCATTTGGCGCGGAGCACTCTGACAAGCCTGCCCCTGAAAACCAACCGCCGCGACCACCGCGCGAGCGGAGGCTTCCGAGCCCGCCGCCAGAGCAAGCGCAGCAGCTACGCGCCTTCAGGGCGCAACTGCTCGACAACGAGCTGGCGCACCTCCGCCCCCCCCAGGAGCAGTGGTCGCCGGAAACGTCGCGCCCAACTCCCGACGCCGCAGCAAGTGCGTCGCCCAGCTACGTCCGCTCCGCGTCGCCACGCTACGCCGCAGAGACCAGACCGTCGAGCCTGGGCCCCCCGGCCGATGGAATGGCATCTGCGGAGGCGGGGCGCGCTGGACCGGCGAGCTCGGGTCTCCTGGCCGCTGGAAGAGCCGCCGCGGCCGACCGCGACCTGTCGCCCAGCTTTCCGCCCGGGCCAGCGTGCTTGAGCTCCCCAGCCTCTGGAATGGATGGCGCGCGTAGCGTGCCCGCGGGCATGGGCCCATTCCGGGCAGCTCACTCCGAGGGTCGCCCGCGCCGACTGGCGCGCGTCAGCTGTCGTGGCCAGGCGGTGGCGCAGCACGGGCGCGCGTCCCGCGAGTGCGAGATCATGCGCCCCACGCGCGAGAACGTCGACTTGGTCGACCCGCTGCTCCGCGAGCCGCGCTGGCGCATGGGCCCGCAAAGCGACGACTGCGATGGCGAGCAGGGCAACGACGACGACTCCGACGAAGGCGACAGCAACGGAAACGGCGTAGACGACGAAGACCGAAAGACCACTAAAAGACCACCGGACGAAGCCGACGAAGCCAAGAAGGACGACGACGACGCCAAAAACAACGACCCGGAAGAAGACAACCGCGCTTCTGAAGACAACCGTGCTTCTCACGTCGCTGAAGCAGCGGTGCCGGTAGAAAATCTGCGCGCCGACATCGCCGCCCGCGAAGCGATCGTCGATCCTGGCCAAAGGCGCGGTCTCTGAAGACCGCCACAGACGGTTCAAACATCTCCTCGTCAAAGAGTTTCCTGATCTGCGCGTGTCAAACATGCCGCATTCGACAATGCATCGCATCGCTGGGGGCGATGCGAAAACGGCCACAAGTCTAGCGAACGCGCCTTCTCAAACTCTCAGCTCAAGGACCGACTTCGAAGTCGTCGAAACAAGCACAGGTCCACGAGCCACGCCTTTTCTGTCGCCCAAACCACAGCTGAAGGAAAAAAAAAAAAAAAAAAAAAAAAAAAAAAAAAAAAAAAAAAAAAAAAAAAAAAAAAAAAAAAAAAAAAAAAAAAGCCGGCCGCTGTCGATTTTGATGGGGGCGCGCTTTTCCCGGGGCCGACCCAGCAGACAACGCCGCCGAAGACTAGCCGCGCCGGGCACCACTTGCCCCCGCTCCTTTCCGCGCGCCCAAGAGCAGCACGCGCGGAACCGCCTGCGACCACAAGACCCACCAACAAAGAAACACCACGCGCGGAACCTTCCACGACGACGCGCCCCAACGACAGAAAAACAGCGCGCGAAACCATCGCGGTGCTTGGCAGCCCCGGGTCGTTTCAGATCTCGACGCCGCCTCGCCTGTCCAAGCTGAAGCACGACCTGGCCGCTGAGGCAGGACTGGAGAAGATCCGCGAACGACCCGGCCACCCTAGCGTGGGGCACTGGCGCGTGAGATCACTCCTGCGCCGGGCCCCGGAACCGCGCCTGCAGCGAAAGCCCCCGCAGAGAAGATCACAAGCAACTGCAAACTATGATGTCGTTTTCGAAAGGCCGCCCCTCATCCCAAGACCTCCAGGATGAGCGCCAGATCGGTCAACCAGATTGCGCGCGTCGATTCATGCGAGATCAAATTGGACACCCAAACAATCATCTTTCACCACATGATCGATACCTTCACGAAGTAGTCTCCGGCAGAGCGGGTTCCGACGAGGGGGGCCCAGTGGCGCGCTTCGCGCGCTCTCTCGGCGGCAATCCATTTTTGGAAGCTTGCCAGACAACAGTTTGACCGAAAACGGTGGTGAGTATGCCAAACAAAGAGGTAAACTAATACTTGGAGCTACACGGAGTACGTCACTTGTGGACCCCTCTCCGCGCTCCTGCCTCGAACGGCCTCGTTGAACGACGCGGCGGGGTTTTGAAGATAATCTTCTACATATGGGCGCAGATGTTCATGAGCCACATTGGCAGTAGAAAGCCCACCACTACGGACGCCGCGCTTCAAGCCTGCGCGGCGAAGAACGCCCCGGTGCGACGATGTGGATTTCCGCCCCAGTTCTCAGCGCTAGGCAACAACTCCTTCTTCGACGCCATCGACGAAGCAGCCCCCCCCCCCCATGCTCCGGGACCTCCCCGCGGACCCCGCGAGCAGCGCTCAGGCCAGGTTCCCCCTCCGGCGGGCCGCGCAGCAGGTAGCTATCCTGGTCCAGTCGCGTTCTGAGTTGCGGGAATTGTTCAAGTCACGATTGGCTGGCGCGCTCGGCACTCTAAGCGCCGGGGCCGTCGTTGATTCAAAAGCCGACGACGACTCCACAGACGCGACGTCTGGAAAAGGCTTGGAAACGACCGCCAATCGTGCACTGTGCTAGGTCTGGAAGGCCAACAGAAAGCGTGGATCCCCATGCAGGATGAACGCGCCATCTCTGCGCACCGGCGCAGGGCCCCCCCTCGCGCGCGCAAAAGGATCTTGGAACTCCCAGCCCAGGCGCCCGCGCAAGAAGCCACGAACAGCAAAAAGGAACAAGCCTCAGAAGACGCAGCTTCGCCGCCGCCGCCGCCGCCAGCTGCGCCGCCGCCGGCCTTGCCAGCGCCGCCTCCTGCCGCGCCTGCTCGGGCTGGTTCCCCCTGAACCTGCGAGCCTGGGCCCCCCGGCCGCGGGAAATGGGCCAGCACTGCCTCCTCCTCCTCCGGCGCAACCTCCGCAGTTGCAGCCCGGCAGTTCTTCAGCTGGCACTGGCGAGCCGAGCCGCCGACTCTCCGGCAAGCAACAGCTGCCACAGAGACGGAATGGAAAACGCGAAGTTGATGAAGACGAGCCTGCACACAACTCACAAACTCTGCCACGCCCCATTCTCGCAGCAGCCAACAACGTGCTGACGAGTCGTGTTTATTTTCTCGAAGTACCAACACAATGGAGCATGATGGTTGAAGTTGCGGATGTTTGTACAAGTTGCCCAGAAAACACACGCGCCCCAGGGGATTATGTTCTCGATGCTCTGGCAGCCGAGAAAACATCGAAGCGAGCAGAAGAGGCCCCGCGGAAAACAGCGGAAGCAGACCCAGGTTTCGAAGCACCCCGGCTTCGTGAAACAGAGGCTGTTTCGGACAACTTCGATGTAGTTCCGCTTCCAGACGGCGCCTCTGCAGCGCCGTCCTGCTTCGTCCACGCGGCCCCGGACGGCGAACCGAAGGCCCGCCTCGCGGCGCAGGGTTGTCTCGAGCCTGGCAAGGACAGCTGCGCGGTAGAGAGCTCCACCTTGCATCGCCATTATGTCCGTTTCCTGCTTTGGCTCGCTGCGCACATGGGTTTCGAACCAGAAGCTTGGGGCGCGAAGAAAGCTTCCTTGCAAGCTGACGCTTCTGCAGATCCCAAGTGGGACGAATCTTTCCCCTTCGCTCGACCGCCCGCTGGCGCTGAGCTGCCTGGCGGACGAATGCGGCGACCGAAGCGCGGAAAGACTCTCCACGGATTGCGCCGTGCACCACGGGCTTGGCTCTTTCACATGCGGCCCCTCCTCCTGGAGCGCGGTTTCGCCCAATCGATTTGGGACCCGCGTGTGTTTTTGCGTTTCGAGAACGAGCAACTTCAAGGTTTCGTTGGTCTCCGCGCAGGCGACGCCTTGATGGCCGGGACCGAGGCCCTTGGGAACATTATTGAGAGCTTGCCACTGCAATGGGGCACGCGTGAGTATGGTGACTGTGTCTTACGCGGTTTGCATATCAACGTAAACATGCCGCACATCACCCTTGACCAAACAGAATACTGTCAGCAACTCTCAGTCATATCTGTTCCCCCAAACCGCCTGCGGCAACCGGCGCCTGCTGTCACGGAGGCAAATCGAGCTCCCCTGCGCCAGCGCCTCGGTGAGCAGATTTGGGTATCGGACCAAACAGTTCCAACCTGTTCCTTCCACGTGAGTTCTGTGGCATCAAAGGCACAATCGGCAACTGTCAGCACGCTGTTGGGCTACACCAAAACGCCCGCCGCCTCAAGAACGCCACCGTCGTCTTAACGTTTGGCCCAATGTCCAAAGACATATGTGCATATTCTTTCGGCGATTATTCCAGTGGCGCGGCCACGTACATAGGGGAGAAAACGGGAAGGAATAAGGTTGTTCGTGCTGCAACGTACAGGTGGGTATCAAAGAAGCAAGTCCGCGCGTGCATTTCCACGCTGGCCCCCAAAGCCCTCTCGGCAAAAGCCGCTTTGGATGTAAATTTTGCCACGAGACGCTGGAACGTTAGAAATTTTGAACAGGCCGGAACCTCCGCCTGGTGTCCTGCTTACAGATAGTTGGTTTTTGTGACCAATATCTACTCTGCAACGCCACACCTTTCGGAAGAAGATCTTACCCCAGCGTTTCAGAGAGTTCGCGAAGCGGCTGTTCCCAAACAGCGTGACAAAGAACTTCTTTTGGAGCCGCTTTGGGTGCCAGATTCTGAAATGGTTGCTGATCCTCCCACCAAAGACAAGTCCAACCCAGAGAAACGTTTGGCCCCAATACGGTCTGTTACACTCACGCTCACCTCAGCAAGCAAACCGGCCACAGCACCACCAGCGAGTGCCAACGCAGCGACGTCTATCAGACCTTCGCGCCTGGGTTTCCTGGCTGAAGGAACGGCGGTCGCCAGCGCTATGGTTGCAACAACCATCGGCGCCCGGGTGCCGGCAGCGCCCGGCTGCACGAGCAAGGCTCGACCTCCGCCTCCGCATCCATGTGCCATCTCGAAAGCGCCCTCGCCGGCTCCTCCAACAGAGCGCCCAGCCGAAGAGCAGCTCGCAGTGATTCCGCCGGCACGCTGGCTGAGCAACGTGGAGCGGCATCTCCAACACAATGCTCTGAACATGATGTGCGCCGAACGCCAGGCTACGCAGAAACTCCAAAACAAGCAGGATATCTCCCGTGACCGACAGCATGAGCGCGCTGTGGATCTGGCCCAGAAGGAGCTGCAGGCAACGCAAAAGGCAGTCTGCATGGACAAGCGCATCAAAGCAGCAGATAATGATGCTTCTGACAAACCAGAGAAATACCACGATGTGTTGTATCGTCGAGACGTTGCTCAGATGGGACACCACATGTCCGCCAGAAAGCGCCGAGGCAGACAGAAAGCGAAGCGAGACAGAGCGGACTGGGAACAGCGTCGCGGTAGGCATAGTGGTCGGGCAGAGACAGCAGCGACCGATCCAAACTACGTTTTGGATGGTACGCCCGGTGGGGGCGTCCAGCGTCGATCCGTTCTGGATCATGCTCGGGATTTCTGTCCGGAGCCGGAGGCACCGCGCCCTGTCGTTAAGAGAGAGAGAGAGGTCTTGTAGCAGAAATCGTAGTCCCGAGTCCTCAGAGTCTGACGGGACATTGTCGTGTGATGGAGACGAAGCCACGAATGACAGGAGCCACGTCTTCACGAAGGCAGACCAGGCGCCCGAGCTGAGGCTGTCCACCGACAGGAACATGAAAAGACCGCCTCCGAGCGCAGCCCGAAAAGCAAAGAAAGCTACCAAGCGAGCAGAGAAGAAGAAAGAGAGAAAGACGACTACAGCGACTACTGACGGACTGCTGAGCCGCTGAGCCAGCCTTTGGCCACTTTTAGAAGAAAATAAGTTGAGGTTGTGAAGCGATTTCATTCCTCTTCCTATCCATTATGTCCCTCCTTTCTGGTCTTCTCTTTTCCTCCCCCCTCCTGCTGCTGCACTGCTGCTGACCGCTGCCATTTAGGGCCATTGAGCCGCTCGCCGGAAAGAGCGCGCGCCCGGCCATCCCTAACGAGCCCTGCCGGGCATTCCGTCTCCCGGAGCTCTCGTGCCTGGATGGCTCTCCTTTGACACATCCTCAGCCCGCGATCATCCGACGGTGCTACTTGTCGCCTCTGTCCAGGGTCCTGTGGGTCTGCCTGAACACAGCTGGCCTCTTCCACCCGTCTGCCCTGCTGGGCCCCCACATCCCCCCGCCGCCCTTCCCCGCGGCCGCCTTCTCCGCGTTCCTCGCCCGCCTCATCCTCGTCCCCTGCCTCCGCTCCTGCCCGCCATCGTCTTCATTCGTCTTGGCCTCCGCTTCCCCCTGGCCCCCCCTCCTCCAATCCTCATACCCTTCTGCCCCGCATCTCAATCAACTTCATGCTGCCACCCCCTGACTTCACCACTACCCCTTCACCGCTTCCGTCCTCCGCGCGTCCCTCTTGCATGCTACCGCCCTCCTCATGCCGTTTCTCACCTCCTGTCACAGCGAACTTCTCCCTCGACCCCTCCACCTGCCTCAGATCCCTCCCAAAAGCGCCTCAAAAACATATGCCGGACACCCTCGCCAGAGCCAGACCGTGCGAAGCAGCACGCGGGACACGTCTAGAGCGCGTTTTATCATCTGCGATGACGGGCGTCATGGGGGTGGGGGGGGGAGAAGGCGGGGGGGGGGGTATGACGCAACGCCCCCCCCCGCCGTGCGGCTCCAGGGGGGAACGTTATGTCGTAGGGGGGGAACGTTACGTCATGGGGGGGGGGGAGGGGGGCCGGGGGCCATGACGCCCGTCATGCCCCAAGCAATAAAGAAACGGGTTCCTACACCCAGCGTGCGCAGTACACCACGGAGGGGCCGTTGCCTGGCACAAGCGTATCCGCAAGTGGCCATGCCGCTGGCGGTCCGCACGAGGACTGTCGCACTGGCCCGCAGCGGCCCGCAAACAGGGTGGAGGCAATGTCTCCGTCGGACCGCTGCTGGCGCTAGTGGCCGTCACCGACAGCCTCACTGCATCATCGCGGGCCCTCTCGCCAACGCCCCCTCCATCCCGCCGCAGACCTACCAAGGGCTCCTCTTGAACGCGTGGCGACCAGCTTCAAGCAGGTACTCTAACGGTGGGACACTGCATTAATGTTTTGAAAGGGGGAAGGGCGAGGGGAAGGACGGAAGAGGACAAGCAGAGTGAGGAGGGGAGTGAGAGGAACAAGGAGGATGATGAGACGAAAGATGACGATTAGTGCAAAGTAGTGAAGAGGCGGGAGGGGACAGCGACGACGACAACGATGACGAGCGAATCGGAGCGAGGATTGGGGGGAAGGAGGGGAGTAGCAGCTGCAGCAGGATGATGGACGACCGGGATGAGACGATGGGGAGGAC